CTAAACACAAGTCATTGCATCAGAGCTTGGGTAAGTTTTAATTTATTTTTAAAGCCAATTAAAGCAAAACTTCAATTTAAAAAAATACTTTTTACCAAAAATTATACCCGCCTTTTGGCCAATGTGATTAAAAATAGTTTTATTTCTTACCGTTTTGTGATGCGGGGCCTCAGTGGCCACATTATGGCTATGTAGCGGTCGATGCTGATGGCCACCAGAGTGTAGGCGGTGACCAGCACGGAGACCGCCTGCGAGTAGTTCACAAAGTGGCAGAGCACCACGCCAAAAGGCCAGTAGTTGAGGATGAATAGCGAGATGAAGGACGAGGGCACACAGAACAGAGACATCAGGATGTCGCCCAGTGCCAAGCTGGCTATAAAGTAGTTGGTAACAGTGCGCATTCGCGGCGTAGACTGAACGATGTAGCAGACAGTTCCGTTGCCAATCAGGGCGAAGAAAAAGATGGGAATGTACAGGAGGTAGACGGTGCTTTTGAAGTAAACACTAGACCACAGGTCCTCCGACTGAATGTCATCGCCATCGCAGCTAAAGTTCATTATATAGGTGACATTATAGTTTTCCAGCTGCAGACCATTGAGCGTGGTAGTAGATCCGTATCCGTAGGATGCCTCATCGACCGCCGTCGCTTGTGCGGTGGCATTGAAAAGGAGGGAGGCGGAGTCGGACAGGCTGAGGGATCCCTCCTGGTAGTCATTATCCTCATTCCTCAACAGCGGCTGCTGCGGAGCTATGTAGTACATTCCTTCGTTGTTCTCAAACAACCTACGGCTGCTTTTAAGCAGCGGTCTATTGTCGAACTCCATTCGAGCGTGTCAATAGAGAAACCACAAATTCTTAAGCCAACTTCGAGTCCTTAAAAACTTTTTTAAGCATTCTGGCCCAAAATCTAGGCTCTTCAAACTTGGCTTCTGGCTGCCATCTGTAAGTAAAAGTTGCTGGTTATAATAAGTGAAGTTCGTAAAAAATGTGCTGCACTACATTGCGGCTACTTAATAATTCGCCCAACATATTTAAGCAATAAACATTGCATAGTTGCAGGCTGATGTCAGTATAAGAGTTTTTTGGGCTATATCAGAATGATATATAGCCTCAACTAAGATAGAAAAGTTATAAGGTATATGATGGGTATTCCAAGTTACGAAAAAAAACAGTTATATTTTTCCCTAACAAAATCCCGAATACAAAAGGCTAGTAATTAACATTTTTGTCATCGATTTGCCGTCCTTCATTAATGAATAGCTTATCAATTTTGTAATATGAAAACCTGGAAAATGTGCACCGAATGCTAAAGTAAATAATTGAAATGGCAATTTCAAAACCACATATTCAAATTAAAAGGGCCAGCGCAGCAGGCAAGCATATATACGGGAGATGAAGCCAATAATAAATAACATGTAAAATATTGACAAAAAAATCACGTACAAGAATGAAATCTGCGCCATTGAAAATGTAATAAAGACTCAGGTTTAGGACCATATCAGATTTTTCGAGCTTAGTTGGCGCGTATTTAGCGGGCTTTAAGGCTGAACACGAAAAATAACAGCCAACAACAAAGCCTTCCTTTAGACACAAAAAAAACAGGAGCCAACCTGCCAAAATGTATTTCACAAATTCAATTTTCAGCCAAGCGACAATCGTAGGATAAAGGAAGCAAGGAATTTACAAAATTTACATTGGATTACGACGACTTCAGAGGCCTTTAAAGGACTCTAGCTTGGGGTGTATTTTTTTTTGGGTGGAATAGAATGCTAACCAATATTTACTTGACAGCTTTACTTTACGCGTTGCAAATATGAGAAATGAGTCACTTAAATAATTTGTCTTAATAATAAAATAAATACTTTAAATAATAAATTGTTTACATACCTATATAATCTCGTTTTTTTATAAAAAAAAAAACCAACTAATGACAGCCATCAGTAGATAAAAATGCGATTCAGATTCGGATTTCCAAAAAAAGCAATTATAATACGGTGCCGCAATCAGATTAATTTGAATGTACCCGTACCACCAACTCAGCCAAAGTAATGCCGTTCGATCTAATCTACCGTAGATAAGTCGACCACCATGGGAGCTATAAAAGAGCCTGCCTGCAAACTGGACAACCATCAGTTGTGGGCTCTACTGCAATATGAAGACTTTCCTGATTTTGGCAATCTTTGCTCTGGCCGGTAAGAACAGGAGGTATCCTGTGAGTTCTGAGACATTCCGAACTAAACTAAACATCTCCCTCAGCTTCGGCTTTTGCTCTGGAGGAATCCGAGCGCGTCAATGGCGAGAACGGCTGGTACGTTCCCCAGGCGGACGGCTCCTTCGAGTGGGTGGACATGGATGTGGCTGAGGAGTGGATGGATGAGCAGGAGAAGCTTGAGGGCCGTGGCCTGACCACCGTCCCCGTGAACTTCTACCTGTTCACCGCGTCCAACCCCTCCAGCAGCAAGCACATCTACGCCACCCAGAAGTCCATCAGTGCCTCCAACTTCAACGCCAACAACCCGACGCGCATTGTGATCCACGGCTGGACCCAGAGCTACCTGAACAGCATGAACTCGGACATCCGCAAGGCCTTCCTCTCCCGGGGAGACTACAACGTGATCATCGTGGACTGGGCCCGTGCCCGCTCCGTGGACTACGCCACCTCCGTGATGGCCGTCGCCGCCACCGGAAAGAAGGTCGCCGCCATGATCAACTTCCTGCAGTCCGACTTCGGATTGAACCTGAATGATCTGTACGTGATCGGTCACAGCCTGGGCGCCCATGTGGCCGGATACGCCGGCAAGAACACCAATGGCCAGGTGCACACCATCGTGGGTCTGGACCCCGCCCTGCCCCTCTTCAGCTACAACAAGCCCAACAAGCGTCTCAACGCCGATGATGCCTGGTACGTGGAGTCCATCCAGACCAACGGCGGCACCCTGGGATTCCTGAAGCCAATCGGCAAGGGAGCCTTCTACCCCAATGGCGGCAAGAGCCAGCCCGGATGCCCCTTGGACGTGACCGGAGCCTGCTCCCACGGACGCTCCACCACCTACTACGCTGAGGCCGTCTCCGAGGACAACTTCGGCAGCATCAAGTGCGGAGACTACGAGGCCGCCGTTTCCAATGAGTGCGGCAGCACCTACAGCGGCGTTCGCATGGGAGCCGACACCAATGCCTACATGGTCGCCGGTGACTTCTATGTGCCCGTGAACAGCAAGGCCCCCTTCGGCATGATTAACTGATCGCTTAACAATAAATACTAATACTCAATGAATATATTTTTCACTACTTTGTGGTTTTTGTAATTTATAAGACATATGGGATATGAACTCTTAAATGCTTGTCTGCATCGCTTAATAATTAATCAGACCAATCTTCCGCTTTAGCCCACGTCTATTTTTTTTGAACACTAAAAAAAATAATATACTTAAAGGCTTTGGATGAACTTTTTATATATCGTGTCTTTGAGGTATCTAAGAAACTACCATTTATTACTAAGATTATTAACAACATTTTTATAATTTAACAAGTTAACACCAGTATTTAGGTATGGAACCGTTGCTTGCAAGGCGGTCTGTGCGTCCTTGTGTCCAATTAGTATAGTCCAATTAGTAGTGTGGAGTATGCCAAGTATATTGGTTCGAGAATGTGCAGCTGGCGGACTAAAAACTAAAGTTCTCCGCCTCTACTTGAGATTCGTACAGTTCAAATCCGATAGGATATTTTTGGAGCAAGCTCTTGAGGTACAACAGACTGATAAGGGTAATGTGCGACTTTCAGTCCGCTTTGGAATTCCAGCACCAATAATTTTATTTGCCTCCTATCCTTGTTTATAGGCTGACAAGTTTATTGTTTCTTAAGGCTCCTGTGCGAAACTGAATTTTATTGTGTCCCTGAAACGTCCCGTGCTCATGCTGTTTACCCATGTGAAGCCAATGATTTGTGACCTGAGGTACAATAAAAGCGGGTTGAGAAATGCGGGTTGGGTAAATTTTGGCTGGCTTTTGGGCAACTCGTAAGGACATAATACCCTGAAAAGGGATATTAAATCCAACAAACGTTGTTTGCGGATAGGTATGGCTATTAGTTCGGTGTGCAAATTGTGGACTATTAGGATGGCAAATGTGAGACTTTTCGGAGAGTTATTAATGCAACATGTTCACTGAATCAATAATCGAATTAATGTCCTCACCCATTAGTATATGGTCCTCTGTCCACAAAGGCACTTCCACGTAAATATAATAAACTTAAAACTCTTGGGAGGTCTATGGTTTTGGTTGTTTTCATGTTTGTATTGTTAATTTAATTAGTTCCTTAATAAGTGATGATTGACTCGAACTCGTGTCACTCTACATAAATGCCCGAAAGTATGCAGCTATTTTCGAAAACAATTAAAAGCTGTCACTTTCGCCTAATTGACTTAATTACGATTAACCACATCCCTGAGCACGTACTGTAACAAACTTTGTTTGCTTAAAGTTTCATTTTTTGTTTGCGCTTACTTATTTACATCACGTAAGAGCTTCTGTGTATATCAATATCATAGATTACAAGCCACCAACTGGCCGAGATAAGAGGAGTCGAGCAAAACAAGAATGCAGTGGAGTGTTAAATGCCCATTTAATGATACCTACAATTAAGCCCACTCACTCGGACTTACAGGAGATTAAAGTGCTTAAGGGCACCACCCATTGTAATCGATAGCTGATAAGCTACTTGTTGACTGGCATTCCAGACTCGTGCTCCGATAGATTGAATTGCCTGTCCATGAACATGAATTTCCATAGTCATAACGTAGAACACTCGAAGAATTTCGCAAATCGGCCACGAATAAATGAAGAGCCATTCAATTGATAAAAGTGCCATTTAAATCGAAGTGCTTTAAAAAAAAAACTTGCAGTATGGTCCCTATCAGATTACTTTAAATGTACCCAAACCACCCAGTCAGCCAAAGAAATGCCACCCAATTTAATCTATCGCGATAATTCGGACACCCGGGGACCTATAAAAGCAACGGAAATCGTACTAGACAACCATCAGTTGGGGGCTACACAACAACATGAAAACTTTCCTGATTTTGGCGTTCTTTGCTCTAACCGGTAAGTTTAAAAAATGCTGAAATTTTTAAAGAATTCTATATTAATTGTCTCTTTCAGCTTCGGCTTTTCCGCTGGAGGAATCTGAGCGCATCAATGGCGAGAACGGCTGGTACCTGCCCCAGGAGGATGGTTCCTTCGAATGGGTGGACATGGATGTTGCTGAGCAGTGGATGGAGGCCCAGGAGCTGCTGGAGAGCCGTGGTCTGACCACCGTTCCCGTGAAGTTCTATCTGTACACGTCCTCGAACCCCTCAAAGGGCACCAAGATCACCACCACCACCAAGTCCATTGACGCCTCCAACTTCAACGCCGGCCACCCGACCCGCTTCGTGATCCACGGCTGGACCCAGAGCTACTCCGCCAGCATGAACAAGGACATCCGCGATGCCTGGCTTTCCCGGGGAGACTACAACGTGATCATTGTGGACTGGGCCCGTGCCCGCTCCGTGGACTACGCCACCTCCGTGATGGCCGTCGCCGCCACCGGAAAGAAGGTCGCCGCCATGATCAACTTCCTGCAGTCCAACTACGGAATGTCCTTAGACAATCTGTACGTGATCGGTCACAGCCTGGGCGCCCATGTGGCCGGATACGCCGGCAAAAACACCAATGGCCAGGTGCACACCATCGTGGGTCTGGACCCCGCCCTGCCCCTCTTCAGCTACAAAAAGCCCAACAAGCGTCTCAACGCCGACGATGCCTGGTACGTGGAGTCCATCCAGACCAATGGCGGTAATTTGGGATTCCTGAAGCCCATCGGCAAGGGAGCCTTCTACCCGAACGGCGGCAAGAGCCAGCCCGGCTGCGGACTGGATTTGACCGGAGCCTGCTCCCACGGACGCTCCACCACCTACTACGCTGAGGCCGTCTCCGAGGACAACTTCGGCAGCGTCAAGTGCGGAGACTACGAGGCCGCCGTTTCCAATGAGTGCGGCAGCACCTACAGCGGCGTTCGCATGGGAGCCGACACCAATGCCTACATGGTCGCCGGTGACTTCTATGTGCCCGTGAACAGCAAGGCCCCTTTCGGCATGATTAACTAAAAGCAAACCAATAAATATTAAGTCAATGAAAGTATCACGCTTTTTTTGGGGGATGTTTTCCTTAGGATCAAGTTTTTTCTACAAAATATGTACATAATTTTCAAAGATTTGTTTGTATTCTGCAGAAGATAGAGAAGAAATCGTAATGAAGGGAAAAGTTGGCCAATATTTCGCAAGGGCTCAGATTGATCAATGTAGTTGAGACGAACATGATATTTACTTAGTTTAATAATTTTTTTTTATTTGCATAAATTCTTTTTGGTTGGGAGGAACAGGAAACAACAAAAGTGAAAAATATGAGTATAATTGACCCATGACTTATATTTGCCCGCAGCAAGTTGGTCTGGTAAACAGGAAAAAAGTATTGCAAAGGCATCAGAATTAGCTTTGGTGCTTCTTCAATGAACTTCCTTATCGGGCTAAGACGATCATAAACCATAGCATTGACCAACAACCCATTCAGATAGCCATTCTTAAAGGTGAATTAGCTCGAGTGGTTTATTGGCATTTATGGCTGCACTTGACCATTCATTGGATTTCCTTGACTTTCTTAGTCATTGCTCAACAATGGTTTAATTGATGACTGCTTTAAAGGAATAAAAACAACAACTTTATAATTGCCAAGGTGTTTAAACAACTAGATAAAAACGCATTAAGGGAAAATAGTAAAGTTCCTCTAATCCATAGAATAACAAGTTAAGGATCATGACCCTGAGAACCTTATCTTTGTGTTGATGCACGTTCAAAAGCTTTCCCCTTAAGTTTCCACGTTTATCAACTACGTGGGGGAGAAGCGGACGCTATCAAGGCACTAAGTTTTCTAATCGTTTGTATCGGCCCTATCTTATTGTCCAGAAGCTGTCAAAGCTATCAAGTGTTTGCTGATATTAGACTGATTACTGTGATTACTTCCCGCCTATAAAAGGCGATGGAAGAGTGCCCCATTCACCAAAATTGTTTGAGACCCCCAACATGAAGGTGTTTTTTGTCCTAGCCGCTTTACTGGCAGCAGGTAAGTTGTCCTGGACCATAGTTCTCAAAGGCAGACATATCCTAAGTATCCCTATTCATAGTGAGCGCCCTGCCCATTGAGGAGCGCGTGAACGGCGAGAACGGCTGGTTCATCCCCAAGCTTGATGGAAGCTTCGAGTGGATGGAAAAGCAGGATGCCGAGGACCTGCTGGCCAACGGAGCCCAGATGGAGGGCCGCATCAGCACCAACGCCGTCGACTTCTACCTGTACACCAAGTCGAACCCCATCGACGGCAAGAAGATCACGGCCAAGGCCAGCTCCGTGGATGATTCCCACTTCAACAGGGACCACGGCACCCGCGTCATAATCCACGGCTGGACCCAGAGATATTCCGACGACATGAACACCCGCATCACCAGGGCCTGGTTGTCCAAGGGCGACTACAACGTGATCGTCGTGGACTGGGCCCGTGCCCGTTCCGTGGACTACGCCTCCTCCGTCCTGGCCGTTCCCGGAGCCGGAGCCAAGGTGGGTGAGATGATCAAGTACCTGCACGAGCACCACGGCCTCTCCTACGACAGCCTGGAGGTGATTGGCCACAGCCTGGGCGCCCATGTGGCCGGATACGCCGGCAAGACCGTCGGAGGCCAGAAGGTGCACACCATTGTGGGTCTGGACCCCGCCCTGCCCCTCTTCAGCTACGACAAGCCCAACAAGCGTCTGTCCACCGACGATGCCCACTACGTGGAGTCCATCCAGACCAACGGCGGCAAGCTGGGATTCCTGAAGCCCATCGGCAAGGGAGCCTTCTACCCCAACGGCGGCAAGAGCCAGCCCGGCTGCGGACTGGACGCCACCGGCTCCTGCTCCCACGGACGCTCCGTGCTCTACTACGCCGAGGCCGTCACCGAGGACAACTTCGGCACCATCAAGTGCGGCGACTATGAGGACGCCGTCTCCAAGAAGTGCGGCAGCACCTACAGCAGCGTTCGCATGGGAGCCGTGACCAACGCCTACATGGTCGATGGCGACTACTACGTCCCCGTGAACAGCAAGGCTCCTTTCGGCAAGATCGAATAGGGTCCTGCAGGCATAGTCGTTTTCTGAATAAAATACTCTATTGAAATGGACACTCCAAAAGTGAAGGCTTTCTTTATGGCGATTTTGGGTTCTTTTTTGGGCTAAATATAGGAATCGAATTATATTTCGAAATCAAACTGATTAAATATTTATTTTATAAAATATATATTTAGGAAGGATTAAGAATCCAAGACTACCCTTAGTGGTGACATAGCTTGAGCTTTATTGCTTATGTTATTTAAGCATTCAATTAAATAAATATATAAATTAGATTTATCAATACTCGTCGATATGGAGGACCTGCCAACTCCCAACAAGGCACTTATAGTTGAAGTGCACTGGGATTTTCACACCACTTGAATTGCCAAAAGCATAATCGAAAAATATAGTGCTCTCGCTAGCAATAGATTACTTATATATATATATATATATACATATAAATGTTTAGTTATACTTGCGTGGTTTCTGATTGCGACAAAGACTTTTTTCCTTCTTACGTAGGAACTCTGCTTATGTGTTCAAACGATTTTATGGATTACACCTATTATCATTTAAAACCTATATATTACCTACTATTAAGCGATAATACGGGCTACATATATGCTATATGCTACATATACATATATGATTAAAGATAATACATATATTCTGATATGAAGTGAGCTGACTTTTGATAAGTTACTACAGCCTATATAAACGCTGCTAAAAAAAAGATCGGTTCAGTATATACTGAAGGGATTTCAAGATGAGAGTTTACGTAGTTCTAGCGGCACTATTGACAGCAGGTGAGTTTAAAAATGTCTTGTAAATACCATGCGATCTGAAAAGAATGTTTTTCCATCTTTAAGCGAGTTCTCTTCCCATTGAGGAGCGCGTCAATGGCGAAAACGGCTGGTTTGTGCCCAAGAAAGATGGCAGTTTGGAGTGGATGGACATGAATGATGCCGAAAAACTATTGGAACACAGTGCACCCATCGAAGGGCGTGCCAATGATGTGTCCTTCTACCTCTACACCAAACGCAATCCAACCGCAGGCAAGGAAATCAGGCCCGATTCATCCTCCATTGAAGACTCGCATTTCGACAAGAACCATGGCACTCGTTTTGTGATCCACGGTTGGGGTGGCCGCTACACCGATGGTATGAATGTCAAGATCACCAAGGCGTGGCTTTCGAGGGGGGACTTCAACGTGATCGTTGTCAACTGGGATCGTGCCCAATCCTTCGACTATGCCTCCTCGGTGCTGGCTGTCCCTGGCGCTGGAACCAAGGTGGGAGACATGATTGAGTACCTGCACCGGCATCACGGTCTGTCGCTGGAGACTCTGGAGATTATTGGTCACAGTTTGGGCGCCCATGTGGCTGGCTTTGCAGGAAAACAAGTGGGAGACAAGAGGGTTCACACAATTGTGGGTCTGGACCCTGCCATGCCGCTTTTCAGCTACGACAAGCCCAACAAGCGTCTATCCACCGAAGATGCCTTCTATGTGGAGTCCATTCAGACGAACGGAGGCTTGAAGGGATTCCTGCAGCCCATTGGCAAGGGCACCTTTTACCCGAACGGCGGAAGGAAGCAACCGGGCTGCGGTAATGACATCGACGGGCAATGCTCCCACGGACGCTCCGTCACCTACTACGTGGAGGCAGTCACCGAGGACAACTTCGGGACCATCAAGTGCAGGGACTACCAGGATGCACTGGCCAACGAGTGCGGCAGCACCTACAGCGGTGTTCGCATGGGAGCCGTGACCAACGCCTACATGGTCGAAGGCGACTTCTACGTCCCTGTGAACAGCCAGGCTCCTTTCGGCAAGATCGAATAAAGTTCGAAGTCATTCTTAATCTGAAATGGATTGTCCGAGTTTACTTTAAGGTACCAAGTGTCGAAGTCTATGTCTCAACAATAAAAATATTTTAAATACATCCTATTTAATTAAACAGATTTTATTGTATTTAGTCGATCGATAGCTTTGCAATATTTCATATGGTATCTTTGAGTACTTCAACTCGAAAGCAAGCTTGTGCTTTAAAATAATCTTATGTCATTGATACATCCTGTATTCTTGGAGCTTCATTTGGTGTTGGAATATACTTATAACTGAAGTGGAGTGTACGATTAAGTCTTGTTAAAAATATTAATTATAATTAACATATATATTACTATTAAATGATAATATTTCTCTCTCGATCTCAAGTAGTGCACTTGTAGATATTTACAACCTATATAAACGCATGTAAAGAGTCTTTGTAGACTAGATTTTGTTGGGATATCATTATGAAAGTTCTTGTAGCTCTTGGAGTCTTATTGACTGCAGGTAAGTTCTTAAAGATCCATTTTTAATATAATTAAATTTAAAACATAGACTTTTTTAGTTAGTGCGCTTCCTATTGCGGAGCGTGTCGATGGCGAGAATGGCTGGTTTGTACCCCAGGATGATGGCAGTTTTGAGTGGATGGACAAAAAGGAAGCAGAAGAGCTGTTGGACCATAGTTCTCCCATTGAGGGTCGTTCCAATGAGGTCTCCTTCTATCTATACACCAGACTCAACCCAATGGAAGGCGACGAAATCAGACCCCATGCATCCTCCATTCAAGATTCGCATTTCGACAAGAACCATGGCACTCGTTTCGTTATTCATGGATGGAAGGGACAGTATACCGATAGCATGAATGTGGACATCACCAAGGCCTGGCTTTCAAGGGGAGACTTTAACGTGATCGTTGTCAACTGGGCTCGTTCGCAATCCGTGGACTATGCCATGTCGGTGCGAGCTGTTCCTGGAGCTGGAACCAAAGTGGGAGAGATGATCGAGTACCTCCACGACCATCACGATATGTCTCTGGATACTTTGATTGTGATTGGACACAGTTTGGGTGCCCATGTGGCTGGCTATGCAGGAAAGACAGTGGGGAATAGGAGAATTCACACAATTGTGGGTCTGGATCCTGCCCTGCCCCTTTTCAGCTTCGATAAGCCGGACAAGCGTCTCTCCAGCGATGATGCCTTCTATGTGGAGTCCATCCAAACCAATGGAGGAGTGAAGGGCTTCGTGAAGCCCATCGGAAAGAGCACTTTCTACGTGAGTGGGGGAAGGAAGCAGCCCGGCTGCGGTGTAGATATCCAAGGAACCTGCTCCCACGCACGTTCCGTGCTCTACTACGCCGAGGCCATCACGGCGGATAGCTTTGGTTCCTACAAGTGCCAGGACTACCTGGCTGCCCTGGCCAACGAGTGTGGCAGCACCTACAGCAGCGTTCCCATGGCCGCGGATTCGAATGCCAACATGGCGGAGGGCTACTTCTACGTGCCCGTAAACAGCGAGGCTCCGTTCGGCAAATTCTGAATAGACACCGTTGCAAAATAAATATCAGCTAAAAGAATTCCCGAAAAAAAGGCGGTCTATTTGTGCTTTTAATCTCCATCTTGATAGGAGTCTCAGGGGGTTCTAATCACTGTCAGAGCACCAAGTGCTTTGACGCACTTCCCATCCTGGTTGGAACGCGAGTCGCCATTCACTAAGATTTTTATTAGAGCAAGTCACGGTCACGTTGTCCTTAATTAATCAGAAGATTACTTTTGAATCAAAAATTACAATAGGGGCTATCATTTGTTGGACATCTTCTAAGGCAGATAGGTCTTTTTATGACTAAAATAAGATTGTCTTGTCTATAAACTCTTCTAAACTAAAATATCACACACATATTTTTAAATTTTAATCTGATTGTAAAAGGACCAAAATAAATATGTTATCACAATATTCTCTCATCTGAGCACTTTAAATTATGAAAAAAAAATATTCTAATAAATGGCCAGCAGTGACTAGTAACTTTAGCTTCGTAGGATTATTGATAAATTAAGTAATCGCAAATAATTCTAGAGATCCTTAGATTGTTATTGTATTTAAATTTCTGACCAGCTGTGTTTTTGTGACAGCTAACATTTGTTGATTGAAATGGACGAATTGATTAACCAAATGGCCAACAGCAGATAATTTAAAAGCTGATAGTAAAAGGCATTTGGAGCCAATTTTGGCAGAAAACTATTTGAGATTAGGAAACCCTTTATTAAATGGTTATTCCAGAAATTATCGACCACTATTTTTTAGCATACGAGTACATACATAATTGCTGAAGTGCTGTAGCGAAGTTATGACAAAGAAACGTTATTGATTAAAATTGACAAGTTGAATAACAATCTTACCACAGACATATGATAATTGCGCTGATTGAAAATTACGTCAAATACTTTTGCTTTGTTGCCAATCTGATATGTGAATTACTTGAAAGGGCCACGCGGCCTAGGAAATCAATTCAATCAAATTAAATTCAAGATGGACATTATTCTTAGACTAGATTGCAGGAACACATGTTTCGCTCTTCGAACCCTCGACCGCGACTTTATCGAGGGCATAGAATGGTGCGAGTGTCCAATCCAGTTGCCTATCTCGAGTGGTGCGCTTCAAAATGTCTGCGATTGAATCGGCCGATCGTAGCCACCATCCATATAAAGAAGCCCCACGCCACCCACAGCTGGTAGTTGAAGTTGAGTTTACCGCAATGATGAAACTATTTTTGGCGCTGGCCTTCTGTGTCCTGGCGGGTAAGTGCTACTCGGCTATAATCATAATCATACTTTGAAGAAACTTCGAGATTACGTTTTTACCAGAATGTTCTACACGCAACGTAGTTTAACAATTTTTTTAATGGATTAAAACAGTCCGATTAATAAATTTATTGCTTAGCTTGTATTTAATAACACCATCTTTGTAATACTCTTAGCTCACGCCGTGGAGGTTCGTGAGAATGGAGAGAACGGTTGGTATGTGCCCCAGGCCGATGGATCCCTTGAGTGGATGGACCGCGACTTCGCCGAGGCCTACTTGGAGACCAAGAGCCGCATGGAGGGCCGCAACGTCCTGAACCCTGTGACCTTCTACCTGTACACCAACTCGAACCGCAACTCTCCCCAGGAGATCAAGGCAACCTCCTCGTCGATCTCTGGCTCGCACTTCAACCCCAACCACCCGACCCGCTTCACCATCCACGGATGGTCCTCCAGCAAGGATGAGTTCATCAACTACGGAGTCCGCGATGCCTGGTTCACCCACGGCGACATGAACATGATTGCCGTGGACTGGGGCCGTGCTCGCTCCGTGGACTACGCTTCCTCCGTGCTGGCCGTTCCCGGAGTTGGTGAGCAGGTGGCCGATTTGATCAATCACATGCGCAGCAACCACGGTCTGAACCTGGACAACACCATGGTGATCGGCCACAGCCTGGGCGCCCATGTCTCCGGCTATGCCGGCAAGAACGTGAAGAACGGCCAGGTGCACACCATCATTGGCCTGGACCCCGCCCTGCCCCTCTTCAGCTACGATTCGCCCAACAAGCGCCTCAGCTCCACCGATGCCTGGTACGTGGAGTCCATCCAGACCAATGGCGGTACTTTGGGATTCCTGAAGCCCATCGGCAAGGGAGCCTTCTACCCGAATGGCGGAAAGAACCAGCCTGGATGCGGAGTCGATCTGACCGGATCCTGCGCCCACAGCCGCTCGGTGATCTACTACGCCGAGTCCGTGACCCAGAACAACTTCCCCACCATGCGCTGCGGCAACTACGAGGAGGCTGTGGGCAACCAGTGCGGCAGCTCCTACAGCTCCGTCCGAATGGGCGCCACCACCAACGCCTACATGGTGTCCGGAGATTACTACGTTCCCGTACGTAGCACTGCTCCCTACGGCATGGGCAACTAAGTCCGTTTCCTATTAAATAAATTGAGTGAAAGCTCTGTGAGCGAAAGCAACCCGTACTGAGCTTTATTTTACTGATATTCCGGGCTAATGTTGTGAAGCGAAAGTTTTTCGTCAAGCTTTTAAATACAGTGGGACTAAAAATATTTTAAAAATATTTTAATGAGGATTTTTATTAAAATATATATTAGCATTTAGTGTTTTTACTACCACTCGAAAAGATCTAAATTATCAACAGAAAATTATTAATGAAAATGAACTATAAGATCCATTTTGTAGAAAAACAAAAATGTATTTTAGAATAAAACAGTTTGAGAATTTTGCCAATTAAATGTTTAATTTCTATTAAGGTAATTCCTTATTTAAAATCAGTTACATATTTAAGTATAAATCATGCAGTTATCTCATCTATTAAAATGTGAAACTCAAATTGTAGTTTCCCAGAATTCTTTATAGCGTATTTTTTGGGCGATTTAAATCGCACTGATTACAAGGGATCTAATCACTCCGCTGTTGTTGTGCAGATTTTGATTTTCATTCAACTAATGCGGACTGAAGGTATAAATAGCAGTTCCAGGTGCGACAATTTGGCCATTCGAAAAAATTTGCTTCAACGATGAGATTGTGCTTCCTTGTGCTAGGCTGCGTGATAGCAGGTAAAGACTTTGCACTTTGAAAATTGTCAGTACTTAAACGTGAATCGTGTTTAGCTAGCGCCTGGCCTGTTGACCAACTTTCGGTACGAGACCATGGCACTAATGGATGGTATGTCCCTCAAAAGGAGGGCGGCCTCAAATGGATTGGCAAAGCGCAGGCGGAGCATCAATTGGCATACTACGAGGCTGAGGATGCGTTGGACGGTCGTCTGTCAACCAACACGGTTAAATTTTATCTGCACACACTGAGCAATCCCAGCACTGCACAGCAGATCAAGGCCACCAAGGCATCTATTGATGGCTCCTTCTTTGATGCAAGCAATCCAACAAGGTGAGGTTGGTAGCCGCATGAATTGGCTATGATACTAATAACTTAAATGGTACCACAGAATCACCATCCACGGCTGGAACTCAAACTACAAGGATGGTGTGAACACGAGGATTGCCGATGCCTGGTTCCAGTATGGCGACTACAACATGATTGCCGTGGACTGGCAGCGTGGTCGTTCCTTGGATTACGCTACCTCCGTGGCTGGAGCCTCGGGAGCTGGCAAGAAAATCGCTGCCCTTGTTGATTTCCTGGTGCAGGAGTACGGCATGCGCCTGGACACTCTGGAAGTGGTTGGCTTCAGTCTGGGGGCCCATGTCGCCGGACACACCGCCAAACAAGTGACCTCCGGCAAAGTGGGCAAGGTGGTGGGCCTGGACCCGGCATCTCCTCTTATCAGTTACTCCAAGACCGAAAAGCGTCTGTCCAGCGATGATGCCGTTTATGTAGAGTCCATCCAGACAAATGGGGCCATCTTGGGTTTCTCTCAGCCAATTGGCAAAGCTGCCTTCTACATGAACGGAGGTAGGTCGCAGCCCGGTTGTGGAATCGACATCACCGGCGGTTGCTCGCACACTCGAGCTGTTTTGTACTACGTGGAGGCGCTGCTGTGGAACAACTTCCCCGCGAAGAAGTGCGAAACCTACCAGGACGCCAATAAGAACACCTGCGGCGATAGTTACAGCTCCATCTTGATGGGTGCTGTAGTAAACGCGATTGTGGCTGAGGGTATTTTCTATGTTCCCGTAAACAAGGATTCCCCATACGGATATGGAGAAAAGAATACTGGTGGCGAAGTTACGACTGCTGCTCCAGTGGTGACTACCACTCCTGTTGAAGGTGTTTCGACTACTGCTGCTCCAGAAGAATCGACAACCGAGGAACCTGAAGAAGTCTCTACAACAACCAAACAACCAGAAGAGTCATCTACTACTGAAGAACCCGAGGAGTCTACAACCGAAGAACCCGAAGAAGTTTCTACAACAACCAAAAAACCAGAAGAGTCCGAGCCCGAGGAAGTATCTACGACAACCGAAGCACCCGAAGAAGTCTCTACAACTACTGAAGAACCCGAGGAAGATACTTCCGAAGCACCAGAAGAGACGACTACTGCTGCTCCAGAAGACGAAGAATCAACAACCGAAGAACCTGATGTAAACACCCCAATTCCCACTGAGCTGCCTTCAACAACTCCAGTTCCGGAGCTTCCTACCACCACCACCTTGGCACCGGAAAATCTACCAACGAAGCCACCCACAGATGATAATGTTGTTCCTGCGGGCACCAAGAAAATCTTCATTTTCAACGTCTTTCTGGTAAATGTTAAGGTTGATAATCATTAGGCAAATGTTTTATTACAAAGCACGACCACTGGGTCTGAAAAAGCTTGAAATAAAATCAAAGCAAAATCTGATTTTCACTAATCATTTCAAAAGGGTTTCATGGCTTGTGGTCGTAGTTACGTTTGGGACAATATTCTTTGATGTTTCGAGGTATTGCTTATAGCTTCCGGAGTGATTCACATTTAATAGTGACAACGATCACAAAATCTATGTTATAATTCTGGTATCAGTTCGAGCATTTGATTATTGTTCAGACAGAAAACGAGCCCTTATCGCATTAACGCCAGTCACTGCTGCTTTTAATGACGGCAAGAAAAAAACTTTCCGAAAAGTCCCAGCTACCAAATGGCTACTTACCAACTAACTTGATTTATTAACTTGAAACTTATCGTATGAGCTTATTTATTATTCATGCGAATGCAATCGTATATGGGCTATAATTAAAGCGCTCAACTTTTAATGTTCCCATCAAATTCTTTAAGAAACAAAGTGGTTTCATTTTTTGTCTACTTTTCCATGGATTTCGCTTGCATTTTATTTTCATTTTAAAACTAAGGAGCCCTCCACAATTGCTAACTGGAAAGTCGACTCTTCTAATATTGATGTAGAAGGTAATTCTCGTAGTATTTGAATCCCGTATTCACGCATACCTCATCCAGATCAATAAGGCAATCTCTTTGGAGCACACTAAAGTAACTTCCAGAAGGACACTTTAGATTTTGGACCTCACCCCGAATGCATTCTCTGTATCCTGCGCAATCATGGGGGTCTTCTTCGCGAAGACCTTCATCACAAATTTCGATATTAGTGACACAAATGCCCCTTCTGTCCACCAAACAGGCCTTAAATTCTGACTCGTAGTAGGAGCCTCTGGGACATAGTTCTGCTATCAACACTCCATCGATGCATATCATGTAACCTGCACAATTATTGGGGTCCAGTTTTAGTTGTCCTTCTCTGCACTTTGGGAGAGGGTCAGCACACAGCCCATTGGAGTCCAATACACAGGTTTGATCGGGTAGGAATACCTGCTGATCGGAATCACTAGATTGCAAATCGGAGAAAGAGTTCTCTTGCGTCTTAACACAAACTTTGTGCTCATCAGGAAGGCAATCCCTTTCGGCAACATTGAAGTAACTGCCAAAGGGACATCTGCGACTTTCGACCTGGCCTCGGATGCATTGTCTGTATCCAGCGCAATCCTGTGGGTCTTGTTCGCGAACTCCTTCGATGCAAAATTTAATATTCGTGATACAAAGAGCTCTACTATCCACAAAACAGGCGTTCAAATTGGTATCGAAGTAGAAGCCACTGGGACACAACTCCTCCTTCTGTCCTTCATCAGTGCATAAAAGGTATCCTGCGCAGTTATTGGGATCTAGTTTCTTCTGTCCTTTTGTGCACTTTGCAAGTGGGTCGACACACACTCCATTTACGTCCATAACGCAGGTTATGTTGGATGTGAGTATCTGCAGAATTGCATCAGTAGATGGCAACCCAACAACTGCAACTTCCAAATTTTCGATAGAAATTTCTCTGTATTGATCTGCCTCATCAACAATACCCTCTGTTTGTTCATGGAAATCGGCAGCAGTACTCTCTGTATATTGATGGAAAAAACCAACTGTACTTTCCGTATATTGATGCAAATTATCGGTAGTACTCTCCGTGTATTTATTTAATTCAGTAACAGTACTCTCTGCATATTGATGGAAGTCGGCAACAGTGCTGACTGTATAGTATCCTGTACTTTCAGTAGTACTCTCCGTGCTATGAATAAATTCATCAACATTACTACTTGCTTGTTGATATAAATCGGCAGCAGTACTCTCTGAATACTGAAGGAAATCACCATCCGTAAATTGAGGAAAATTATCCGTAGTAGTCTCAGTAAACTGATGTAAATCAACAGTACTCTCTGTATGCATTGGAAAATCGGTAACAGTACTCTCTGTATACTGAAGAAAATAGCCAATTGTACTCTCTGTATATAGATGTACATTTACAGTTGTACTCCCAGAAGATTGATTTATTTCATCAACAGTACTACCTGTTTGTTGACCAACAGTACTATCGGTTTGATGGTAGAAATCGGCAACAGTATTCTCTGTATATTGATGGAAATAGCCAACAGTACTCTCCGTATATTGATGCAAATTTGTGGTAGTACTCTCTGTGGATTGATTTAATTCAGCAACAGTAGTCTCTGTTTGGTGAACAATGTCAGCAACAGTTCTTCCTGTAGTCTGAAAGAAATCACCAACTGTACTCGCCGTATATTGCTCCAAATTGTTCGCAATACTCTCCCTGCAATGATATATTTCATTAACAATGCTACCTGTTTGTTCGGCAACACCACTATCTGAATTCTGATGGATATCAACAATTGTACTCTCCGTATATGGATGCAAGTTTTCGGTAGTACTATCGGTGTTATGAGAAAATCCAGCAACAGTACTATCTGTATATTGATGGAAATCGTGAACAGTACTCTTTGTATAGTGAAGGAAATCACCAACTGTACTCTCTGTGTGTGGATGCAAATTTTCAGTAGTACTCTCTGTAGATTGCTTTAATTCAACAACAGTACTCTGTGTTTGTAGCTGGAAATCGGGAACAGTACTTCCTGTCTGCTGAAGGATATCACCAACTCTACTTTTCGAGTTGTGATATAATTCGGCAACAGTACTGCCTGTTTGTTGATGAACATCGGCAACAGTACTCGCTGTATAATCAATCTTGTATTTCTCTTCCGACTTTTTACATATCTGGGGATCTTCTTCCCGAACTCCTTCGATAAAAAGTTTAAAGGTTGTGACACAAGCACCCTCACTGTCTACCAAACATGCTTCCAATTTTGAATCATAATAGGTACCAACTGAACACTGCTCCTCCACCAGTTCACCACCGATACATTTAAGGTATCCCGAACAGTTATTGGGGTCCAATTTCAGCTCTCCTTCTGTACACTTGGCTGGGGCCTCAACGCACACGCCATTCACATCGACGATGCAGGTTTTGTAAGTGGGCTCAAAGTAACTGCCACTGGGACAACTTTTAGATTCCAGCTTTCCGCTTTGGCAGTTTAGGTATCCAGCACAGTTATTAGGGTCCACCTGAACCTCCCCTTCACTGCATTGATCCGATGCAGAGGAACAAACACCATTCTCGTCAACCTGGCAGAGTTTGAAAATGGCTTCGAAGAAGCTTCCGCTGGGACACTTTTTCTTCTCAACCACTCCATTGACACACTCCAAATAGCCGGCGCAGTCCTCGGAATCCACTGTTATTTCTCCTTCCAAACATATTTTCTTCTCGGGTGTACATAAAGTTCTTCTATCCATGCGGCAGCTTTTCGATATTATATTAAAATAACTTCCAATAGGGCATCTTTTCATTACCAGCTTTCCATGTGAACACATCAGGTAAGCGGCACAATCATTGAAATCCTCAAAAAGTTGGCCCTCGAAACATTTTCTTCTTGAAGTGGGACAGACATCAAACTCATCCACCACGCAAACCTCATTTTTGGCCTCAAAATAACTTCCATTGGGACAGCTCATGTGCACTGTTTCATCATCGAGACACTGAAAATAGCTGGCACAATCATCGACGTCGACAGCTACGGAACCCTCAGTACATTTAATAGAATCCTTTATGACAGACGCTAGAGATGTATGCATCAAGCATATCAATGCCCACAAAGAGCACACTAAACCAGGGAAAAATGCATTAGTTTCCTTAATATTTTCTGTTAGGGGTAAAACTGTCTCACCGTGATAAATCATCCGCAGTCGTTGCAGCTTCATTTACTTTGTTTTTCATATGAGAGGCGTTCCATGAAGTTTCAGCTTTTATATTGCAACTCCATTAGCACTTTTGTAACCACAGATAAGACAGAAATGTAAGATGACCTTATCTCAAAATGTTACACATGTCCCTTCGTGAGTGGCAAATAAAAAATGTGTGAGAAAATGACTCAGCATCGAAATACATTTGTATAAGTTAAATAATCGGCAACAAATGATAGTGCAGCCTTGCGAGCTTAACGAACCCAAAAGCTTGTCACAGGATATCCAAAATGAAAAAAATTGTATACGAACAAAGAACGAAATTTTCGCACCCGGAATGTGTTAAGCTGTGTTGATACTTGCACTTATTGTCAACTGATTTGCATATTTTCTGCTTAGTTTGTTATCGCTACTTGTTTGATCTCAGTTTTCCGCCTGAATTTCTACATATCCCAACAACTGTGACTAAGAAATTAACATACAAATAGAATCCATGGGCATTTGGGCGAAGGTCAAAGGGCTTAGACGTGTCGGCATAGTCAGCCAACAAATGCCACATCATCTACCAGTCGCCTAAGGGTTCAATATTCATTTTAGCCGTCTTAACGCCTTCACCTTTTAACCCAATGTACTCCCACTCCCGCTGAATTTCGACAAGTATGTCAACAACTTTCGCAGCTCTGGGAGTTAAGTTCCACTCTTGGTAGTTTTCCTTGGGCCAAAAGATTGCAATCTACTGTGCCAAAAGTACATTTCAGTCTACACAAAGAAAACCTTTATAAAAGCTCTTAATTTTAATTCTGATATTTATTTTAACAAATTTTTAATTTAGTTAACTTAACATTTAAGTCTAGCAATGTATGAAGCTATGACTGAGGAAAATTATGCCACCCTACGTATTTGTCTGTGCTTTTCCTTTTTAACGACCACAATGGCAGCCTGTGAAACCATTAATTCGGCTCACTTATCTTACACAATGAGGTCTACGTTTTATTCATTTCTAATCCAAAGCAGCTGTAATAATTCAAAAGGCCCACCAACGGCAAAGGGTTATCAGGCTTGACTGAATTTCCATGAAAATTAAAACTTTGAATTGCTTTAAAGAACGATACAATTTCTAGAAAACAACTCAGAAGCTGAAAAAACGTCACATGAAACTAACCAAAGAAAATTTGGTTGAGTTTACTATTTTAAAAAACCTAAGAAAAACATTTTTTTACTCAGATACTGAAAGCCAGAAAATGTATGTAACAGTATGAATAAATTTCAATTGAAGTATTTGTTTGTTTAATATGAAAATCACATTTGCCAAATAAATGGTTGTCGATAAGACAACTGCACAACAGTTGATAAACATCTATTTGGTTAATATGCATTATTAATGCAAGAATTGAGAATTAAATTTTCAGGAGTGTTTAGTTATTTATTATTCGCCCATGAACCTTGCATATTTAACTAAGGGACATATGTCGTTTGATAACAAGATATCGAAAACAAGCCAATATTTATCATTTCTTTGCTAATTGCTTGTTTAATGTTTGTGCTTTTTGCAATATACAAGCTAGTTTATTTACAAAATAAAATGTCATTGGCTCTTATCAATGTATTGATAGAGAATTTTATATCATCAGACTGACAAAATGTTTGTGCAAAATTATTTGGCAAAATATTCGCGCTAAATTATTTGAGCTCACATTTTGCCAGCCTAAGGCTAACGTGCAGCCAACAAAATAATGAAAAGCGAATGTCTGACATTGAATAAATTATTATTTGTGATGATGATGAAAATTTTGGGAAAGTGCCGCTACTGCCGTTAGTTGAGTATATTAATGCCAAAGTGTTCAAAGTATTGACATTGATTTTGGCAAATCCCTCAGATCGCCCGGGTCATATGCAAATTCCACAAAGCAGTAAGTGTTGCCTTATCAATAAACCAAAATCCGCAACATATACCCAAGGCAAACAGACAACAGTCACTTAAATGCGGCAATAAATCTGTGTGTACAGCCCGACACGCGTTGACATTTAAACGACACATAAACAGGCCCAGAGTTTCGGAACAAAATAGAAGTTAAAAAACACAGACTCACAGTTATCTCCCCGATTAAATGCAGAAAAGGCAAAGGAAAGCTAAAAATAAGCGGACAAAGCGATGGAACTGCAAGTTTATCATAAAATACGCGTTTACCTGCAACAAATACTAAACACATGGAAAACAACAAACAAAGCCGGTAAAACATCTCCATTTTGTTAGCATGATGCAGATTTTATAATTAACCGGAAACTTATTGGATAGGACCAGCTTAAGTTCTTTCTGTGCTATATTTACGCAGTCAGTAATGACAACGCTGCGTATGCTTCATATTTTTTGTTCAACCAAACTGATAGTGCTGCTGTAGCACAATATTGATTGATGATATTTCCGGCAAAGGCTAAGGACAATGTAATACAAATACGAATTTGTGATAAAATTATATATTTGAGTATTTATTGCTTTAATGTTCTGTTTAAAGCAATAAAATAGTTTTGCGAAACAGCTGAAGTGCAGAAAGTCCAACGTGGTTGCGATTTTACCATCTTGAAATAACATTTGTCTTTACGAAGTACATTTATTTCACTTAATTTGGATCAATTAAATGGCAGCTTAAGCAAACTAAAAATGGATATTGAAGTCATCAATTGCAATATTTTCTTAGAACTTATTTTTCCTTTAATATTTCAGCTTTCTAAGCCGATAAATTAAACCAATCAAAAAGTGCTTTTAAATGGTTAACTGTCCTGTGGCGCACGAAAATTCAATTGGATACAACACAAAGGCATATCAAGGGTCGTGAATGGTATAGAAATAGCAGAGAATTCTGGTCATGTGTCCGGATCTGGTTTTCTCAGAATCATACAACTGACCCGATGTGTGAAACTCAGTGGAATGCTAATGAGCGGAAACAACAAGCCAGATGCCGGCGGAGAGGACAAGCTGATTAGCAGGTAAATAAATCTCATTGCAACACTCACCTAGTGCAATGCAGGGGGGTGAAAGGGGGCTGCTTTTGCCTTGGTGGGCAAATCGACACCGACGGTGTCAAATGTAATGCCTTGAAACAATGGCCAAAATTTCACTTGCACTCACTCACTTTCCGTATTGCGTACACGCACCGTTGGCTGCTTGTTAATAGTGTCAGTTTATTAATTGTTTATCGTTCACTGTCTGTTTTATAGCTGTTTATTGCCACTTATTGAATTGATTTAAATGGCTTTTTTTATGAGTTTATAAGTTCAGTTTCGAGACCCGCGAACGAGGCGAAAAATGATGGAGAAAAGCTAAAGGAGCACGCCCAGCAACGATGCGATTCGCACGAGCACACAAAGCGAACTGAATGTGCCGCCGGAATTTGCATCCGACTTTTCAACTGACTTACTGATCAGCCGGCCACGAAACTCGGGCACGAACCACTCGACATCGGGCGCCACTCCTGCTCCTTTGCCGGCTGCCAGCCACATGTTGCCACACCGCTCTGCGCAGGCACCGGCCCCCAAAAACCAACTGTTTGATTTGGCGGGAAATCTGGGCAACATGTTGCTCTGGCCACATCCCTCCTTCTAACCATGTTGGCCATTACTGCCACGTTTATTGGCCGCAAAGCAATGAGGAAAGCCATCAACAGTGGGCCTACCGCAGAAATTAACAAAACGTAACGCAATTAAGCAGGCTGTAAGTTCGCCAAGGTCAAGTCTTCACACAGGGTCAATTATCATTTTCGACGGCATGAGCCATCACTAAATCACTGAAACGAGACACTCATTGTGGTATTTATGTTTTACATATAGAAGAAGACATAAGCCATAAATAAAAGAAAGTTTTTGTTTTGTTTCTTAAGATTTTTAGATAATGAAGTTTGTTTAAATGTGTTTGTTGGAGATGATAATATTTGTACACGTAGATAATAAGAGCTAATAAAAATTAAAAAAAAAATTGCATGTTGTTTAGGACTCGATTCCATCCTTTTAAAATTTGGCATAAATATTTTAATAAGTATTTCAAGCCGTTATACCGAAAACAAACAAAACCTTTTTTTATAAATTCAATATTTATTATCTACACTTTAATAAAACAAATGTAACAAGTTTTACAAACGAACAAACAACGAGATGTGCATGTGGGGCGGTGTGGCACGTGTGCATGTGTGAATTGGGAACAGGGTATTGGGTAGAGGTAAGGGTAGAGATGCATCCAATGGGCATTAGACTATGACAAACTGTGAAATTGGCTAGGGCATCTTCATCAGCTTCTTGCCTGGGGTCCTCACTTCAGCTTCTTGAGGAAGAAGCGGTTGGGAGGACCGTAGCTGGTGGCGGGTACATGCGATGGAATGGGGGCTAGTCGCTGCTCGGGCTGCTCCTCCACCACGATGGGCGCCATCGAGGGCTCCTCGACGGCCAGGGCGGCGGGAGCGGTGGCAGGGGGCAGGTACTGGTTGGCAGGAGCGGACAAGGTGGTCTGGATCTCCTCCCCAGTGTAGGCGGCTGCGGTGGGTGGGCCATAGACCGATGCGGGAACGGCGGGCTGCTCCACCTCGGGCTCGGGGGCCAAGGTAGTGGGGGGCAGGACATCGGCGATCTCGGCCAGAGGAGCGAAATCCTCGGCGGTGGCCTGACGGGGCTCCATTTCCGCGGGCGGGGGTCCATAGACGGGGGCCTCCTCCTTCTTGGTCTTGTACTTGATGAAGTATACCTCCGGCTTCGAGGGCTTAGTGGGTGGTGGCGTCGGGATCACAATGTCCTGTTCTTGCTCCGGCTTCTTGTGCAGCACATAGATCAGGGTCTTCTCCTCGTTCTGGGGTGGTGGCGGCACCACTGGCTGGCGGATGGCCGGGGCGGATGGCGCCTTGATGAACACGATCTTGTAGTGCTTCTGCTTGGGTCCCTGCTGGTGGTGCACCCGCGTCTGGATGGCATCCTCCTCCTCAAAGTCCTTGGGCGGCACATGGACGTAGATGTGCTTGTGCACC